CACCAAATGCCTTTATCCAATAGTTGCCTTGATATTTCGTGCTGGAGGTTATGCTGGGTCTCTTCCATTTGCTACTCCAGATTCACCCTCCACCCTTCTCCTCCCTGTTCTGCTCTAGGAGGTTGATCTATATGGATCTATATATGACAGCACTCAGCTTCCCTTGCCTTCTGGCCTACAGTAGGCTAGGTTTATGGGAAGCCCCAGCAGGAGAACGAGGAGAAAAATAGTTTCAAGACCGGGGAATTTACTCCCCTGTCTCTCTGCCCGTGGAGTCACCTTCGCTGGCTAACCGATCTGCACGAATCTCTCCTTCAGGGTTCTAGTAACTAGGGTGGTGACATCTCTGCTGTTACCTGCTCACCCAAGGTGGTACTATCTCTGTTTCCCTACATCCTACCCACATTTGGTAAATGATTCCTTAGTTACACCTTCCTTCTAATGATATTGATGTGCCATCTATTTCCTACAGAACTCTGACTAATCCATAGGTCTAAATGGCATCTCAATTTTAACACATAAGAAACTGAGCACCTCCAATACTTTTATCCATCTCAATTGATGGTAACCCCCTTCTTTGAGCTGTTTAGGCCAAAAACTTGGGTGTCATCCTTTCATTTCATCCCCCACCTTCGCAAATCCTATATGCAAGTCCCTCAAAATAGATCCAGAGCCCACTCATGTTTCACCAGCTCTGCTGCTACAACCTTGGCCACAGCCACCATCAACCTTGTCTGGATTGTTGCAATAGTCCAACTGGTCTACCTGCTTCAGGTTACTCCAACACAGCAACCAGAGTGATCCCGTTAAAACATGAATTAGCTATACCACTATTTCTTCAAACCCCTGCAGTGGCTGCTCATCTTAGAGATCTCAAAGCCTTTGAACTTGCTATTCCCTTTGCCTGGAACCTTCTTCCCACGGATATCCTCAATGATTGCTCCCTCACCTTTCGCAGGTCTTTATTCAAAATGCCATCTTCTCAGTTAGACCTTCTCTGTCCATCCTTTCTAAAACTGTAACAACCCCTCCCCACTTTATTTCTATCCTGAGCAATTATCACCATTTAACCTCATATATTTTCATTTTCTTTATTGTATGTCTCCAACCTCTAGAATTTTACTCCATGGCTCAGGAGTTTTTGTCTGTTCTGTTCAATATTGTGTGCTCAGCCTATAAAACAGTACCTGGAAATAGTGAGCGCTCAAATAATTGTTCAACAAACCACAACTAGATATCATTCAATCAACTGGCCACAATTCAAGTCTAGCAGATCCTCATATTGGCAAAGATGGTGAACACTAGGAACTCTAGCTCATCTTCACTTTGGAGAGCAATTTGGCAATATCTAGAAAAGTTTATGATGTGCATATCTAACAAACTAGCAATAGTTTTTTCTTGGTTGAGTGTTTATGCATACAAACGAGGACAGTATACTAAAAATAAGAATCATTCCAAGGAGTATGGTCAGCCCATCTAGAGAGTATTCTGAATATTTTACAATCACAGAATGAACTCCACTGCTCAAAAGTAAACCAATATAGCCCTACTCCAACATATATGAAGAAAGCATGGCAGTTCTTCTCAGTCTTATGATATGTTGAAAAGGAAATTATAAATCAGCAGTAGAGGGGGAAGAAATGTAAGTACATATCAAAAGATGTGACAGTTGTGATTTCCCAAGAAACCAATCACAGAAAGATAAACAAGCCAGTTAAGAAATCAGCAAAGAAAAAGAAAAAATAAACATGTGGGACTACATCAAAGTACGAAGTTTTTTCACAGCAAAGGAAACCATCAACAAAACAAAAAGGCATCCTACCAAGTGGGAGAAGATATTTGCCAATAATACACCTGATAAGGGGTTAATATCCAAAATTTATAAAAAACTCACACAACTCAATACTAAAAAAACAAAGAACCCAATTAAAAACTGAGCAGAGGACATGAAGAGACATTTCTCTAAAGAGGACATACAGACGGCAAACAGACATGAAAAAATGTTCAACGTCACTAATCATTAGAGAAATGCAAATAAAAACTACAATGAGATATCACCACACTCCTGTCAGAATGGCTATCATCAATAAATCAACAAATAACAAGCATTGACAAGGATGTGGAGAAAAGGGAACCCTTATGCACTGTTGGTGGGATTGCAAATTGGTGCAGCCACTATGGAAAACAGTATGGAAGTACCTCAAAAAATTAAAAATAGAACTACCATATAACTCAGCAATTCCGCTCCTGGGTATCTATCTGAAGAAATCCAAAATACTAATTAAAAAAAATATATGCACCCCTATGTTTATTGCAGCACTATTCACAATAGCCAAGATATGGAAACAACCAAAATGCCCATCAATGGATGAATGAATTGAATAAAGAAGGTGTAATACATATATACAATGGAGTACTACTCTGCCATAAACAAGAATGAAATCTTACCATTTGCAATACCAGGGATGGACACTATATATATA